AAATTTAAAAAATAAAGTATACAGAAGGATGTGCATAGGTTATATGCAAATACTATACCATTTTATATAAGAGACTTGAGCATCTGCAAATTTTGGTATCCACAGGGGGTGTTGGAACCAATTCCCCGGAGGGATGGCTGTATTGTTAATTTTCTTAGGTGTGATAATGGTGATGTGATTATACAAGAGAACATTCTTATTTTTCCAAGACGCACGCTGAAGTGTTTACAAATTAAGTATTTATTTTTTCTGCAACTTACTTTATAAGGTTGGCAACAAAAAAAAGTGAGTGTGTATATTCCAAAATATAGATATATGGGGAAAGAGAGAGTGTGTTCAATAAAGCAATGTGGCAAAATGTTAACAATTGGTGAATCTCAAGGCTACGTGGGTGCTCATTGCACTATTTTTTGTTTATTTTAGAGACAGGTCTCGCTATGTTGCCCAGGCTGGCCTTGAACTCCTGGCCTCAAGCGATCCTCTCCATTCGGCTTTCCAGAGTGCCAGGATTATAGATGTGAGCCACCATGCCCAACTAAATAAAAAGCTGGGGCTGGGCTCAGTGTCTCACACTTGTAATCCCAGCACTTTGGGAGGCTGAAGCGAGAGGATCACTTGAAGCCAGGAGTTTGAGACCAGCCAGGGCAACATAGAGAGACCCTGTCTCTACAAAAAAACTTTTTTTTAAAACTAGCTGGGTGTGGTGGTGTGTGCCTGTAGTCCCAGCTAGTTGGGAGGCTGAGGCAGGAGGATCACTTGAGCCCAGGATCTTGAGGCTGCAGTGAGCTAGGCTGACGCCACTGCACTCTAGCCTGGGAGACAGAGTGAGACCCTGTCTCAAAAAATAAATAAATAGATAGATAAAAAGTTGGGAAAAATAATCACCCCACAATTTAATTGATCAGTTACGATGGGAATGTGAAAGGCAGTTCACAGAGTGGATCGAAACTGCAGGAAGAGGCCAACTTATTCTGGAAGCAGAGGGTCCCCTGCTCACCAGCAATGGCATCTCAGCTGAAACATGAACCAGAAGGCAGAAGGGCAGGAATGGGGCAAGGGGGAGGTTGCTGGGAACTGCAGGGTCAGGAATTTGGCTTTTAGCCCAAGGGCAATGGGAGGCCACCTGTACCCCCTCCTCTGATAACTGTCCCCCCTGTCTCGGGCCGTGTTCCTGGCCCTGCTCTAGGTGTGCAGGTGGCCCCAACCCAGCTGAGCCAACCAGGGCCCATCCTTGGAATTTTAAACTTGGAACCAGAAAGAGAATGATCAGTCAGTACCTTGTCTGTGGCGGATCAATGAGAAGTGAGGCTTAGGAGCTCCAGGCCCCAACTACACAGAAGCAGTAGGTCTGAGACCGCAGCTCACAGAGAGGCTGAAAGGTCATCCTGGAGGGATGCCTGCCCATGTCCAGCCACCTGTAGGGCCCTTGGTGGCCCTTTCAGGACTGCTATTTTGAGCCCCTTCCTTCCTAAGCTGGATCAAATTGGTCCCTGTCACTTGCAACCTAATGAGTCTCAGATAATGCACCATGAAAAGATTCACATGGGGGGGGTGACCTGGCCAGAGAAGAGCTGGAGTGCTGGAGGCTGGGGAGGGGTGCCCCTTAATCCCCCCTTCTGGATCATAACTGAGAGGATAAACAGGAAGAGCCTACAGTTAAATTTAAATAAAAATATAAACTTTAAGTGAGGGCCAGTTAACAACAAGATGCAAACCCTAAGATTGACGTACCTAGTTTCAGAAAGGGTGAAATTGATCTCTGGTAACAGGGCCAGCACAGTGATGGCCGTGGGGATGGGGTTCGGTTTGGGAGGGCAGGTACACAGGTGTGCACACTAACCAAAACTCACTGCTCTTCACGTCTGTGCATTCCACTCTAAGAGAATTTTTAAAAAATCAATCAGGCAAGTGGCCAATAACCTCCAATACAAAAAGTAAACTGTAAAAAAAGCAGACAGACAAGAAAAAAGGTGTCAGTGGTCCCTGGGCTGATTAAACACTTCCTCAGTCATGTCTAGAGATTTCTCTGATTGCACTGATGTCCCTGGATTCTCTCTTTGAACCAACCTGGGTCACAGGCCATCCTGAACCAGTCCCTGCGGCAGGCAGGATGGGCTGTCTTTATGGCCACCCAAGCTTGGAAGCTTGAAAGGGTGGCCAGGAGGAGACCTACAGTGGGTGGAGTTAAAGGGGGCTGAGCTGGCAGCACTCCCTGTGGGGGAGGGGCACGGGAGCTGTGGCAGTGGGGGAGGGGAGCTGTCCGCCCACGTGAGTTAGGAGGTATTTCCTCCTCTGCAGTGTTAGGCAGAATTAGAGGACTGATGTCCTTTCTTCTTTAACATTTGGTAGAATTCACCCTCTGGTTCTGGGTTTTTCTTTGTTCGGAAGCTTTTGATGACTAATTATTCTGCCTCTTTGTTATAGGTCTGTTCAGAATTTCTATTTCTTCTTGGGTTAGTTTTGGTCATGTCTTTTCAGAAATTTACCCATTCCATTTTGGTTATCTATTAATGATTTGTTGGCATACAGTTGTTCATAGCACTCTTATTATCCTTATTTCTGTGAGATTGGTACTAACATCCCCACTTTCATTTGATTTTAGTTGTTTTTGTCTTTTTTCCCTTCCATCTAAAGGTTTGTTAAATTTGTCGACAACCTAACTTTTCTTATGTTGATTCTCTATTTGTTTTCTTCCATGCCCCCCTTAATCCTCATTATTTCCTTCCTTCCACTCATTTTGGGTCTAGTTTGCTCTTTTTCTAGTCCCTAGAGGTGTAAAGTTATGTTACTGATCTCTTTTTTTTACTTTTTATTTCATTAGGTTTTTTTTAGAGACAGGGTCTCACCATGTCACCTAGGCTGGAGTTCAGTGGCACAATCATAGCTCACTGCAGCCTCTGACTCCTGGGCTCAAGTGATCCTCCCACCTCAGCCGGCTGAGAGCTGGGATGATAGGCGCACACCACCAGGCCTGGCTATTTTAATTTTTTCATAGAGATGGGATTTCACTATATTGCCCACACCGGTCTTGAACTCCTGGACTGAAGTGATCCTCCTGCCTTGGTCTTCCAAAATGCTGGGATTTGCAGGTGCGAGCCACCATACCCAGCCTCTTGTTTTTAATGTATTTACATCTATAAATTTCTCTCTTAGTACTGCTTTCACCGTATCTCAGAAAGTTTGGCATGTTGTGTTCTTTTCATTAACCTCAGAGTATTTTCTAATTTCCCTTGTGACTTCTTCTTTGACTCTTTCGTAAAATATGTTGTTTAAGTTCCACATTTTTGTGGATTTTCTGGTTTTCCTTCTGCTATAGATTTCTAGTTTTGTTCCATTCCTTGGTAAGTCTCCAACTTACCAAGACTTGCTTTGTGGCCTAACGTGTGGTCCATCCTGAGAATGTTCTCTGTGCACTTGGAAAAAGCACGTGTGCTCCACGGCTGTTGGGTGGAATGTTTGGTAAGGTCTAGTCAGCTTTTAATTCCTTAAATTATGTAATACTTGGCACATACACAGAATGTGTCACACAGGAAGCACCGCTGACCTTGAGGGCCAGCACCTCACCCCCACCTTTGCTCTTCCCTGAGCACACCCGTCCACTGCCCACAAGTAAGCACTGTAATTGTGCGGATCCCCGTGCTTTCTTCCCTCGGTATTAGCACACACGTATGAATCCCATACAATATATATTTGAAGTTTTATAAAAATGGCATCAGCTGCGCATGGTGGCTCACACCTGTAATCCCAGCACTTTGGGAGGCCAAGGCAGGAGGATCCCTTGAACCCAGGAGTTTGAAGCTGCAGTGAGCTATGATCGTGCCACTGCACTCCAGCCTGGGTGACAGAGCAAGGCCCTATCTCTAAATAAAAATGGCATGACGCTGTGTGAACTTCCACGTTTTGCTTTTTCAGTCCGATTGTTTCTGAGACGTGCTCATGACAGGTAACAGGGCTGCACTCCCCATGCGCTGCTTCATAACATTCCGGACCAGTCCTTCCTCAATCGTTTTTCCACCCGTGGGAGGATGGGCTTCTGGGTCGTTTGCAGCATTTTGCTTGTCCCAGTCTCCTGGGTTCTCCATTCCTGGGGATGGCAAAACCACCGTGCCTGACACACTGTCAGACAACACTTGAGAAGAGGCCCCTGGCCCCCGCTGCCCCAGGCACACCCTGGCCGAGTGGGACCGCGCCTCGCCCTGTCTCCGGCCTCCAGCGCCAGGAGTGCGCACGCTGCTGCTCCTTGCACCTCTCCTCACTTCTGTTCCCTTGGCCAGAGGGCAGACAAGCTGGGAACAGAGGCTTTGTAAAGGGTCAGGAGGCGCACCTCTGTGGTCTCAAATGTGGATGGCACTCAGTGGCCCTGCCCACACCAGACACCTCCCTCCCCCAGCGTAGGCGGGGCAGGCCTTGGCTGCCAGCCTGAGGGTGCCCAGCCCCTCCTCCCCGGGCTCGTATTTTCCCCAGCAATTCCCACCTCTTCCACTGGATGGGAAGCACTTCAGGGCCCAGGACAGGAAGAGGGGGTGACTGAGACCTCACCAATTCAACAGGCACATGGTGGCCAGGACACAGCTCTGCATTCGGGGGCAGCAAGCAAACAGTAGCCTCCCAGGGACAAAGCCCAGAGCTGGGGGAGGCCCTTGGTGGGGCTGGGGCTGGGGCTGCCAAACAGCTGGCTTCCTGCCCCAGGGCACCCTCGGGGAAGGTGACATGGTGGCAAATGTCTCTTTTGGGCAAGCCTGGGACACTTCACCAAACAGCTCTCCAGTGGAAGCCAACTTGGAAAATTCCAGGCAAAGGGAAATTTACCATGGGGCAGGAACAGCTGAGCCTTGGCTTGGAACATCCAGAGCTTGACCTGGGGCTTGAGAGCCACAGGAAGGTCACCCTAGTCCCCAGGGCCAACACAGGCCTTGTGGGCACAGAGGCTCAACCTCCAGACAGGTTGCTGGCTCTCGGGGCAGACCACAGCCCCCGGTGGCACAAAGGAGGGACTCGGCCAGGCCCACCAAGAGGGAGTCCTTTAATAGAGCTCAGCACAGACAGGAGACACAATGGGGCCCAGGCACCCTGCTCACTCGGGCTGGGCCCTGAACCAACAGATGCAGTGGCTTCCTCCTGCTTCATCCGGGTGCGCCCGCAGGGTGGAGACGAGAGGTGGCTTTAAAAACACAGCTGAACTAATTCTTCACTTTCACAGCAAAGGGGAACGTGGGAGAGCAGCCCGCTGGAGAGTTCTGACACAGAGCTGAGTCTGAGAGCCCACCCATCCCCGATGGGCCAAACCTTGCTGTCCCTCCCCGTGGGAGGTCCCTCCCTGAGCGGTCTACAGGCGGCGGGAAGGAGCAGAACACACAGGGAAGCCCGGGGCTGTACGAGACCATGCTGACTTAAATAGCTTTCCCCTCCTTTCCAGCTGTTAGTGTTTCTACACTATGTACATTGTTGTGCTTTATAGCTCCCCGCCCCGCAGCCTCTGCCCAGAGCTCAGAGTGGGGAGAGGAACCCGACACCGCGCGCGCGGCTGTGCTGCCAGAGAGCTCCAGGCCCCCAGAAGGCTGGTGTCCGGCCCAGTTCCAAGAGCTGGGCTGCCGGGCACAGATGCTGTCGGTGCTGCGGGCCCAAGGGACAGAGCCAGCCCCGCCACATGGCTGGCTGTGCCTGGTCAAGGAGGAGATGAAACAGAAGGGTCAACTCTGGACAAGATGCAGGCTAGGCGGGAGCAGGCAGGGCTGGAGGAACGGGGTGCAAGGCCGTGAGACGGGGCTGTGAGGTGTGTGTGGACGCAGCTGGACAGGGCTGGGCGGGGGCAGCCCAGCAAAAACCGTTCCGCGGCAGTGAGCCTGCTAGGAGGAGGGTGGTGAGGGCCACCGGCCTGGGCCCCTCCCTCTGAGCACAGGCTGCTCTGGTTCAGGGGCAGGGCCGGCTCCAGGTGTGTGCTGGGAGAGAGATTCAGGGAGGACCACCAGGTGTCCCATGGAGCTGGGTGTGAGGGGCAGGGCTGTGGTGACATCTGTGAGTGTGTCCCCCATCAGGCCAGGGGTTAACACAGGATCAGTTGTTCTCAAAGAGAGAGAGCAGGTCATCATTGCTGTTTGTGGGGAGGTCGGGCGGGCCCAGGTAGGACAGTAGCTCGTCGGGGTTGGTCAGTTCTGGGAGCAGCTGAGGACAAAGCAGACTCTATTAGTGGCCATCCTGCCACTGCAGTGCATTCTGGCTCTGTCTCCAGGCCCAGTGGGGATGCTGAGCAGTCCCACCCACCCCCCAGGCTGAGAGCATGCCGCAGCCTGGGATCTCCCTGCAGAAGGCTGCCCTGGGACCAGGAATAGCTCACGACATGCTGCACGACACCACCAGGAAACAGGGCGCCCGCCTGGGGTGACCCAGCTGCTCTGTGCACTGGGGGTACACAGGCCTGCAAGGGGATCCCCAACGTGATTCCCCAGGTGAATGCAGGTGGTAGAATTCCAAGCCCCTAGGATTTTCTGCTTTGAGCTGCTCTTTCTAATTTTTTCCATGTTGAACTTCAATGAGTTTCTATTATGGTCCAGGGACAGTCACTCTGTCTTTCATGCTCTGAGTCTGGACTCCCACACCACCTGTGAGTCAAGACACAGAGCTACTGAACAAACGGACGAGTCAGATCAGACTCCTGGGACTGTGCTGTCAGCTTCCAGCCCGGTCTTTTCTGAGGACTCCACTCAGGCTTGCCATGGCATGCAGCCCCCGGGGCCAGGCCACTCGCATCCACACACGTGGTACCTCGCCCCCCGCCCCCTACTCCAGGTACCCTATTTGTGAACCAAAGAGTGGCTCTTCCTGAGGGGTTACTGTCCTCCCTCCCACAAAACTCATGGACCCTGGGGCAATGGACACACCACCTCCAGCCCTGGCTCCCACGCACTGCCCAGCTCGGGGCCTGGTACTCACGTCTAGAGCTGGTTCTGGGGCCTCCCCTGCCCCGGACATGCTGGGAGGCCCCATCACGCCCGTGGCAGGACTGAAGGCCAGCTCGCTGGTAGGCCCCAAGCTTGCTTGGCCCAGGGGCTGCCGGGATGCTGGGGGAGGGTTTGGATGGTGCAGTTGGGGACCTGGAGGAGCCCCAAGGTTGGAGGGGTGCAGCCCCGGCGTCCCAGGATTGTGGGCAGGGTCCAGGTGACCAGCCGGTGCCATCTAAAGACAGAGAGGAACTTATTTAAACAGCCCCAGGGCCTCCTCTGGGGAGACAGGCCCCCTTGGCCCCTCAGCATAGCACTGACCTGGCCCGGGAGGCAAGAAGCAGACTTCTCTGGAGTCAGGAGGCTGCTGGGAATGTCGGCCTGGTAGGAGATGGGGGGTGGCCCCGGGGTGAACTCAGCAAGGGTTGGGGTGCTGGGCGTGGTGGGTGGGAAAGACTCAGGGAAGGTCCCAGGTCCCAGGAAGCTGGAACCTGCAAGAGGAGAGTCAGGGCCTGGGTGAGGGCTGGGCAAGGCTGGCGTTGGCAGAGGTGCCAGGAGGGAGCTGGCTGCAGTGCGGGTGGGACTTGCAGCGCTCACCCACAGACAGCAGCAGGTTTTGTGGAAGTTGTTACTTGAAAAAGGACATTCCCTCTCATTGCTGCCAGGGGGAACTGGCCTTGGAATAGGACCTGCCACAACCAAATGTGCCACACGTGTGGGCTGGGTCCTAGATGGGGGTCAGACAGGTCCCAGCCAAGAGCCCCTTCAAACCGGGGGAAGGAAGGGCAGGCCCCACTGCCTGCTTCCTAGAGCCATGGTCAAGAATGTGCCCTCACCAACATGTCCCGAGGGCCAGACGTGCAGGAGGACAGGATCCCGCAGCATATCTTGGTTGAAAACATTTACAAAATAGGCTCACGGCCTCCCAGTGACTCTCTCAGGTGAGGAGACTGGTCTGGAGAAGACGAGTCACTTGCCCAGAGTCATCTGAGGTCCAAGGCTGGGCCCACTGTACTCACCCTGGCCGGGGTAGTCGCTGGGGGCAGGGGCTGAGGGGGTTTGCAGGGGGGCAAAGGGGGCTGCGCTGGGGCCCAGGGCAGCGATCATCTCCATCACGCTGGGCATGAGCACGTGGGCGGGGCTCACGGTGCGGCAGCGCTTCAGCACCGGCCCGTCTGGCTCCTCCTTGATGTGCATGTCGGGCTTCACGGGCACTGGCTTCCAGCTGCACGTGGGGTCGATGGTGATCTCCTCGTAGTCGGAGCTGGGCAGGGACGTAAGGGGGCTGGTCACCTCCTGCCCAGCTGTCTGCCCCACTCAAACACTCGCTGCCACCCAGGACCTTCCCTGCCCAGCACTGATGCTCGGGTAGGACACGATGTGTCTCTGGCCTGGAATCAGGCCCACTCCGTGGTAGAGAGAAGCTCAAAAGTCTCACTCCGGAGGGGCGTCCCCCACCCTGTCCTGGGGCTGCCCTCTGGGTGCCACGAATGCTGGGTCATGGGAGGAGGACACTTACTTCTGAATGTAAATCAGGATGCCCAGCATGTACTGGTCGACCTCTAGCCCCTCCAGCAACGCTGTCTTGCTGTAGGAAACGAGAGGGGACACAGCTCGGAGGCCCTGCTCAACCTCAGGCTGGGCACTGGCCCGCCATTCTTCAGCCCCATCATCACCTGCTTGAGGTGACCCTGCACAAGGCAACCCTGCACGAGGCAACGGTGCAAGATGCCCCTGCGTGTGAGGTGACTCTGCACGAGGTGACCCTGCACCAGGTGATAGTATAGGGTGACCCTGCGTAAGGCCGCCTGTACGAGGTCTCTGCCCTCCGCACCATCCCAGTCTGTGCTGTGACCTCTTCTACGAGGCTTGTGTATTTGGTGACACTTTTAGAGGTCTCACCCATGAAGCCTCTGAAGAAGCCCAGAGCCCCCCAACACACTCTGTACCCCCGAGACTCACTTGCACACAGGGCACCGCCAGGTCCCTCGCTCACAGTTGAGCTGTAGGTACGACTCCAGGTCGAAGCACTGCAGAGACACGGGAGAGACCGGTCCTCACTGTAGGGCGGGCGGGAAGGTCCAGCCACCCTGCGATCCGCTTCCAGGAACGAGTGTCTTATGTACGTGCATGTTTAAGACGCCTCCTGTGCCAGGTTTTCACTGCAGCGTCATTCTAACGGATACAGACTGGAAAGGCCCAAGCAGCCTTCACGGGGGCTGGAATGTCACATGGCCAAAGCCAGAACTGGGCAGCCGTGCTGATGCGGAACCACTTCCAGGTCATGCCGTCAAAAGAAAAAACTACGGCACACAGTGGCTCGTACAGCAGCCACCACTGCGTAACCAGAGGTGGAGGGGTGCGCATCCACTTACCACACAGAGCATTTCCGCAAAGACAGAAACTAACAGTGGCCACCCTCAGGGCTAGGGCAGAAAGGAGACTACGCCCTGCGCCTTATGACTTTTAGAACTGGAATCCCATCAATGCAGCAGTTAGGAAAAATGGTGACTGTATTTAGAAGAATAAAAAGCCCAGTCTCAGGGGAGCTGCGTTCACCCGCCCCTCTGGCAGGCCTGTCCTGTCAGCCCGACAGCCGAGGCGCTCAGAATCCAAGCCCCCCCGGGAGGATGAGGCTCACGTATCAGCTCAAAATACTTTAACGGCAGCAAATCCCGGGAAAGCGCCGCAGTAACCGCACACCTGTATGTGGCGACAGTCATGACCGCGGGCGGGGAGCTGGATCCTGCGGAAGGTGATGGGGCACTTCAGGGACACCTTGATAGCAGTCTGCTCCACCCCGTCCTCTCCGTTGGGCCCAGGGGTGCCAGGGATGGTGCCACTGCTGAAGTTCCGCTTTACTGACATCAACAAGGGAAAGGACTTGAGTAAAGGGTCCCCGAGATGGGGAGGCTGTGAGTGGGAAGGCCAACCAGGGACCTGCTCGATCCGCAGCTCCCAGTGGTCACCTGGAGCTAACTCCTGCCCCCACTGTGGAGCCACCTGCCAGAGCAAAAGTCCTTGTGTGACACAGGGAGGTGCCCACATGGAGCAGCGTTTGGCTGGGTGGGGCCCGGCAGAGCTGTGGGCTGGCTGTCCGGCGCTGAGGGGTGGGGGCCACTCACTCTTGGTGATGCAGTGCTCGGCCGGCAGGAGGCGCTTCTTGAGGAGGCCCTGCAGCACGGAGCGGACGGACGGGCGGTGCACTAGCTGCAGCACGAAGAGGTGGGACTGCAACAGAACGGCAGGATGTCACGGGGGATGCAGGTGGGGGCAACACTGGCGGGGAAGGGGTGTGTGTGGTCAAGGGGTGCGGGGGGGAGAGGAGAGGTAGAGGGTGGGGGAAGGCTGAGGGGTTGAGGACGGGGTGAGTAGGGTAGGGTGGCGGATGTAGGCCAGGCCACACTCCTCAGCAGCTGGGTCTTGTCCTCCTCTGAGTGCCGACACCCAGGTAGGACACTTGCTGCCCCTCCGCAGGAGCCCAGGTGAGCCTGGCCTCAGTGAGGAGGCCAGATGCTCCCACCCACTCACAGCCACCTCTGCGGCTGTGCTGCACGTCCTGCGCTTGCTGTTCAGCCCTTGCCTCGTCCTCACCTCTCCGTCAAAACACGATCACCTGAAGTCCCCTGGAATGTGTCCTGCTTACACACCCACCATTACTGATGTTGGGTCTGGGTTCAAACCGCCCAAGCCCACAGAGCGTGGGAGCTGGGCTGTCTCCAGGGCCCTCACAGCCAGGCTGACTAGCGGGACTCGAAGGCGGTTTCTTTCTCTTCCAGCCCAGGGCCTGCCTGCGATCCCGACGCTTCCTAGAACCGGGTGATGCCTGGTCCACTGGGGACGCTGAACTCCGTGCGCTTTCAGCACAGCTTGGCTGCTCTGACATAATTAACGTGAGCACCAAATCCAGTAAATTTGTTCTAACTGGAAAACAGCTGGGGTGTATTTAACTGGATCCCTTTTCTTAAGGGGCAAGGGATTAAAATGCAAACTACAAGGTGGCAATGAGGAAAATCATTTTTCTTAAAGGATAAAGCCTAGTCCCATCCTGCCCCCCACCACAGGGGACACCACGGTACAGCAGGCAGTGGCAGGATCTGAGGTGGGGCACCTGGGCCCGCCCCGCCCACCGCTGCTTACAGGGCCCAACCCCCCCCAACCCAGCCCCACCCGGCCACAGCCTCGCGGGGGCACGCACGCAGCAGCAGGCAGTGACGGTGATCTGGATGGTGTTTCGGCCCGGCTGGCACACGTGCTTCAGGTAGAGAGGCTTGTGTGAGGTCTTGTTGTCACCGCGCTCGATGGTGAGCGGTGTGGCGTTGACGCTGACCTGCACCGAGGCCGGCCAGTTGGTGTTCATCTGCCGGTCCTCGTGGTGGTAGCACTTGAACTGCAGCTCCAGGTCGGGCCTGCTCGGGAAGACAGCACTGCGAGTGTGGGAGGAGGCACAGAGGGCACGCGGGGGCCGAGGGGGCCGGAGGCTCACCTCAGCATCAGGGTCTTGTAGACAGAGTCTCGGAGCTGGAAGACGTGGTTGCTCACAGCCAGGTTGTGCTGCAGGCGGAAGGGCTCCAGGACCACCCCGTCCCGCACAGGGAAGGTCAGCCGCAGCTCATCGCAAGGGCCGCTTCCTGGGAGCAGAGCCCAAGCTGGCTGTGAGCGGGGCTGCCCGAGCCGGAAGGTCTCATGGCCACTGGAGGAGGGGGCTGCCCTCCAGCTGCCCCTGATGCACGCACCCCGGCACAGGGAGCCCCTCCTGCCAGGTACTGCTTGGCAGGCCTGCAAGGTGCCCTGGGGCTGAGGCCATGGGCAGCATCCCTCCTGAGACCCTGAACCAGTATTCCCAATGTTCCATTCTGCCTCAGCCTCCGGGACCAGTGTCCCCTAAACTATGACAGGGGAACATGCCCCAGTGCAGACAGAAGGTGTTTCCAGTGCTTTCAGAGAGACTGGGAGGCCAAGGTGTGCACGTGGGCATTTTTTTAGAGAGAAGATCCACAGCCTCCAACATATTTGCAAAGAAGGCCACAAATAGAAAAAAAGAAGGCCTGGAACAAAATGATTTGTCTTTAAGATGGAATCTTTGGCTTATCTTAGGAATCTGGCAGCCGCCCCCTGTCCCCCAAGGTCCCTGTAGGACTTGCTGGAGTCCCAGGATTCCCCATGCCCACCTGGCCTTGTCACCACTGTTGTCCCGAGAGTGGACGGACTCACCGGAGGGTGACGGGTGCAAGGAGCTGAGGCTGGGCTTGAGGTCAGGCAGGAAGGGAGACTTGACCTCCTGGCTTGGGGACATGTAGGGGACGCTGCTGCTGGGGGTCATAGGTGGCGTGGGGTTTCCCGGCAGAGGGGAACTGGGGTAGCCCGGGATGGAACGGGCAGGCTGTAGGGGTTAAGCACAAACAGTCAAGGCGGAATGGTGGGGTGGGTGGGGGTGGAGTCTGCTCAGAGCACCCACTGGGAACCACGAGAACAGAGGTAGGCAGGAGGCAGCCCCAAGGGTGCCTGGCTGGGCGCCCACATTTCCTCCTGCCTGGGCACCCTTGCTCCACGTGCCCACCCATGAGCCTCCCGGCCCATTCGGGCCCCTACCCCACTCAGGCTGGGCTGGCTGTAGCTGACGCTGCCCCCGTTGAAGCTGGCGCCCTGCCCGTTGAACTGCTCTGTGGGCTGCGGGAGAGAAAGCCGCATGCGCCTGGGGCTCCAGCCTGCCCCCAACTGGGCCCCCTGGACCTGACCCTAGAAGGCCACTGCACACAGGGGTGCTGGTCTTCACGTTCTTCTTTACACACTCCCGTATTTTCCAAATAATCAACAAGGAACATTAATGACTTCATAATGGAAAAAATCACCACTACAGAGAAAGCAGCAGCCCCACACGTGGGAGGGGCTGAAAAGACACAGGTGCACTCAACCACCCGCTCCTTCCCTCCAGCTGCAGCACCTCCACCCCCCGCCCCCGTGCCCAGACAGGGTGCATGGCTGGCAGTGAGGGCCTGTCGCCTCACTGGGCTTCTCTGCAGTGAGCAGAGGGAATGAGGACACTTTTTCATAAAGGACATTCAGATGTCTCAGGTGCCTGCCTGCTGCTCCCTGCATCGAATCTCCACTGAGACAGACGAATCTCACAGAGGTTCCTTTTGGAACTGGGCCTCCCACCCCAGGAGCAGCTCCCGCACTGGTTGGGAGCCCACCCTCCAGTCAGCCTGTTGCTCTCGAGGGCAGGACTGCCTCAAGATCCCCTGAGTCCTGAAGCACTCGGCATGGGGCCCAGCACAGGGCCTGGAGGAGCCAGCCCTACCTTGTAGTGCAGTCCCGCGGGGCCGGGCGCGGACAGGGACTGGCCCATGCCCTGCTGCAGGGGCAGCCTGTGCCCGGGGTAGGAGGGGGAGGGGGCAGGGGGCTGCCCAGAGCCAGGCGCAAACTGGGCAGTGCTGGGTGCGTACTGGCCTCCTTGCAGGTACTGCTGCCCTGGATACACCTGAGGAAGAGGCAAACGCCCAGGGGAGAAAGGCATCAGGGAGCAGCTCCAGGAGGAAAGCAGTGTCTTATGGGCCGTGGGGGTGGGGAGTGGGGACTTCCTGGTCCCCTTGGGAACTCTGCTATGGCCCTGTCGGGCACAGGTGGTTCTCACGTACAGAAGCCTCCTCTTACCACAGCTCTGAAGGGTGCTTGGGTGAGGGAGTTGGCACTCAAGGCCCCAAGCAGGGTGACCTGGACACTCACCTCGGAGTAGGCTCTCTTGACCCCCTGTCGGGGCAGCGGCTGAGCTTGGGGAGGCCCAGGGTACCCGTGCTGGGGCAGGCGCTGCCCTGCATACAAGGGTGTCATTCCTGCTGCCCGGGTGGGGTTCATGGCCATGGGGGAGAGGCCAGAGGGGCCCATCACCCCTCCCATGCCAGTAGGGTTAATGCCAGGGGGGACACTGGGCCCCCGGGGACCTCCATGCTGCAAAAACTGGCTGTTAAAAGACTGTCCGGCCCCCATCTGGGAAGAGAAAAAAGAAAAATGGTCCAAGCCCCACCGACAAAAGGTCTCTGAAAGATGGGCACCCTGCCCACTCACCACTGGTCACCAGGGCCCTATCCCCACAGACCCTCTCTCCTGCTCACCTCTCTTCCACCGGCCTCATGAGCCCCTGGCACATTCTGTGCTTGTCTCTGGCCCCCCACTGCCTCACTGAGTGCCCCCTCACGGTCCCCCACATGCTGGCTGCTATGAGGGAGGAGCTGGTGGAGGGGGTGTGGCCTCACCGCTCCGTACTGGCTCAGCTCCTGGCTCTGCTTCTCCTGGAGGGCAGCCACGGTGGCCGTGGCCGTGGCCGTGGCTGTGGCCGCAGCAGCAGCCACAGCAGCAGCGGCTGCTGCTTGCGTAAAGTCGGTGGAGGGTCGTGTGGCATGTGAGGCGAGGCCCAGGCCTCCTGGGCCGCCTGCATACCTGCAAGAGACACGGAACTGCCACACTCTCTGCATGGGCTCCTGAGGGCTAGGACCATGCTCACCCCAGGGGCATGCAGCACCCATGGGGGAGCCAGTGGAAAGCACAGAGGCAATGTCCACATGGCCCGTGTCATGGTTCTGAGGTGCCCGCCAGGTTGACTGCTCCTATCACACCTGCCAGGTGAAGGAACCTGCTTACCCGGTGGTGAAGCCAGGGCCCCCGGGGTAGCCCCCCCGGCTGTACACGCCTTGCTGCACGTAGCCCTTGCTGGCGCTGCCTTCAGCAAATGCCTGCTGTCCCAGGCACTGCGGGGAGGTCAAGGCAGAGCTGCCACCTGCCACGCCAGGCATCATGGAGCTGCCAGAAGGGCTCCCTGCAGGGCCCATGGGGTTCCCCAAAACCTAGGAGGAAGCAGGAATCATCAAAGAGAAGCAGCTCTAAAGTGATGGAAACTAAGAGGCCTGGCAAGTGTGGAGGGCGGTGGAGCCACATGGGAACAGGAAAAGCAGCTCCCCACAGGTCAGGGTCAGGTCAGGGTGGTCTGTGGCGGCTGGGAGAAGACAAAAGGGTGTCCCACAGCAGGTGAGGAAGAACCAGTGTCCCAGGGCTTGGGAGGCTCAGGAGGCCCTGTCCTCATGCCTCGGCCTCCCTGTCCTCACCTCTTGGCCTCCTTGTCTCCCTTGAGCTCTAGGAAAGTACTAAGCGCTGCCAAGGCTCTGGCTGCTCAGGGGTGGGGCCCAGATGGGGGCTCACCTGGCTCTGTGTTGCGTTGCTGACTCCCCACACGGTAGTGACCACGGACAGCGATCCAGCTGGCTGAGTGGCACTTTGTTGCCAAGGCACAGACTCATATGCAAATGAACCATCACTACAGGGAGAGAGGCTGGTGAGGCCCGGGTCAGGAGGCCACAGGTGCTTTAGAGCCCAGGACTTTCCAGAAATACCACCCCACCCAGGGCCTGAGGGGGCAGGTGGAGGAGCCCACACTCACCCGTGTGGTGTGGGGGGCAGGGCAGGTTTCATGGGGTTCATGGAGTTCATTGGCGACAGAGCAGCCTACAGGCCAGGACTGACTGTGCTTATCTGGGACTCAGCTGCTCTGGCTGCCAGACAGAAGGGAAAGGATGTTAGCTGAGATGCAGCCGGGAGCCCCTTTTGGCAGGGTGCAGGGAGCCCAGGACTACCAGGCCCCACCCCTTCCTCTGCAAGGGACTTCTGGGTTCCGATGGAGGGCCAGGCAGTGGAGGCGGCTGCCCTTGCAGACCCAGTCCGGAAGCAGGCACGAACCCTTTCTGACCCGGGCCCTGCTGTTCAGAGCCCTTGGCTCAACCCCGGAAACAGACTTCCTGATCCCAAATACTTTCCACATGCTCCCTCCCACACCAAGGCCTAGATGTCCACAGAAAGCCAGGGAGAACCCTGGCAGCCCCATGGCACCTGGTTGCCAGGACCCCTCAACAGGTCCTAGGGTGGAGGATAGAGGGCTGGTGGGAGGGACACTGCTGCTCGAGGTCTTGCCTACCCTGTGTGGTCCATGTAGCTGGGGAGGGGCGCAGGTGGCTCTGGAGGCCAGGAGCCAGAAAGACCAAGAGGGGGAGTGCAGGGGCATGGTGACCCCTCAGGCTCCAGCCTGGCCTGGAGGGCAGCACCCCAGGCCCTGCTGGCAGCCCTTCCCACCGAGAGGGCTCCAGATCAGGGAGAATGCAGAACTGGCCTACACCCCACCAAGAGGGGAGCTACCTGGGGCTGACGTGGGCATAGGAGCCAGGCAGGCAGACCTGCCCCCATACGCCCACTGGTGACACCCTCAGCGAGTTCTCAACAAGGCAGGGACACACACACACAGAGCACAATAGATGGAGGGTGGGTACCCACAGACATGGCAAGGGACCTGTCTGGCGTTTATAATGGGAAGGGAACACTGAACCAACTCTGTGAGCCAGGGCTGGGTGGACACTGGGGACTCAGTACCTGGCACAGGGCAGCAGAGGGTGGTGGATCAGGAGAGAATGCAGCAGGTGCATGCTCGTGGGACCAGCTGCTGACACCATGGATTCCCACCCACAGAGCTGGGTTTGATCTCTCCACTCAGTACATGAGCTGTAGAAGTGACCACACCTCCAGGCTGCTTCCGAGTGCCACCACACCCTCTAATACTGCCACAAGTAAGCCCCTAACGGAAGTGGGCCCAGACATCTCCTGGGGCCCTGCCCCTGGGCTGTCTGCTCACAGCTCACTGGCATTGCCTTAGGTCCTGATGCCCCCGGGGCCACCATCGCACCCACTCTGCCTGGTCTGAACACAGAGGCACACTGGCTGCAGCACAGGGCAAGCAGTGGGTGCGTGAGGCCGTTTCAGCTGGTTCTCAGGAGTCCCCGGGGAAGGCCAGGACATGTTCTGTTCTGGACATCCCTGCCTCTTAGGGGCTGCAAGGCTGACATACACACAGACACAACACTCGAGGCATGCAGACCCCTGGTGCTTCCATCCTGCCACCCCAGCCCTCACAAGGGTCCCAGCACCCACTGAACCCCAAGGCCGATGTTCTTGTATGCAACCAGGAGCCTCACCCACAGTGCAACACCCACTGACATGGGAACAGCCCCATCCCCTCTGCAAATACAGACATGGGGGCTCTGCAGAGTGAGCCACGCCCAGAGCCCCAGAGCAGGGGAGAGGTAGAGCTCTTCCACTAGACCTTCCCACCACTGAGCAGGGGACTTGGAGGGGAGGGGGAACAATTAGGGAAGAGGGAGGAGAAGGTCTGGGCTTCCTCACACCCTCAGGGGAGGCTAGTCTAGTCTCCTCCCCCAGACTAGATCCTGCTTGAGAGGGAGAGGCCAGAAAAAGCAGGGGCTGATGGCTTGGGGGACCTGGACTCTAGGCAGAGACAGGCCTGGGAGCCAGGATGGCCCAGCCGGGCAAGGGAAGGCTGGCAACCCCAGTCCCACTGCCTGACTCTGGGATGGTGCTGCTGGTGGGTAGGGGGACCTGCCAACAGCCAGAAATTCCTCCAAAGACCTGCCAGGTGGGGTCTGGGGCAGCCAGGTATGGGTTTCAGGACTTAGAAGACAGATACAATAATCAAAACTGTGTGGTATTGACAGAGGGACAGACTGTGGGCCAAGAGAAGAGATTAGAGAACCGGAAACAGACCCACACAAATACTGATGTTTGACAAGGACACAAAAGCAATTCAGCAGAGGAAGGACTGCCTTTCTGACAAATGATATTGGATCAACAGGCTAAAAAAAGAAAAAAAATACCTAAACTTCACACTTTATATAGAAAGTAGCCCAAAATGGCTTACAGAGTTAAATGTAAAACATAAAACTATGAAATGTTTAGGAGTCTGGGCGTGATGGCTCACACCTGTAATCCCTTTGGGAGGCCTAGGCAGGAAGACCATTTGAGGCCAGGAGTTAGAGACCAGCCTGGGAAACTTAGTGAGACTCTGTCACTATAAAAAAATTTTTTAAAAAATTAGCCGATGTGGTGGTGCGTGCCTGTACTCCCAGATACTTGGGAGGCTGAGGCAGGAGAATCGCTTGAGGCCAGGAGTTCGAGGCTGCAGTGAGCTACAAAAAAAGAAAAAGAACTCTTTGTTTGGCCAAGATCCCCAAAATTTTTCTATGTATTTTCATAAACTTTTTTTTTTTTTTTTTTAAAGAGATAGGGTCCTGCTCTGTTGCCCAGGGTGGAGTGCAGGGGTGAGATTGTAGCTCACCATAACCTTGACCTCCTGGCCTCAAGCAATCCTCCCACAGCACTGGGATTACAAGTGTGACCCACCTCGCTTGGCCCAGGCAAAGAGTTCTTAGACTTGATACCAAAAACATGATCCATAAAAGAAAAAAAGTTGATAAACTTGACTTCATCAAAGAGGGAAAAATTTTTCCTCTACGAAAGACCCTGCTGAGAGGATGAAAAGATAAGCTATAGGCCAGGAGAAATATTTGCAAATCACAAACCCAACAAAGGAGTAGTATTTAGAACAAATAAAAAAAAAACTGAATTAGAAAATAAGCAAAGAGCCAGGTGCAGTGGCTCACGCCTGTAATCCTAGCACTCTGGGAGGCCAAGGCGGGTGAATCGTTTGACTTCAGGAGTTCGAAATCAGCTTGAGCAAGAGCGAGACCCCCGTCTCTACTAAAAATAGAAAGAAATTAGCTGGACACCTAAAAATATATATAGAGGAAAAAAAAAAATTAGCCGGGCATGGTGGCGCGTGCCTGTAATCCCAGCTACTCGGGAGGCTGAGGCAGGATTGCTTGAGCCCAGGTCTTTGAGGTTGCTGTGAGCTAGGATGACGCCACGGCACTCTACCCAAGGCAACAGAGTGAGACTCTGTCTCAAAAAAAAAAAAAAAAAAAGAAAAGAAAATAAGCAAAAAACATGAAGAAATACTTCACCAAAGAGAATATACAGATGGAAAATAAGCATATGAAAAGATGTTCAGCATCACTTGTCAGGAGGGAAATGCAAATTAAAACCACAATGAGATATCACTACACATCTATCAGAATGGCTAAAATTAAAAATAGTGACATCACTAAATGCTGGCAAGGAGAAACTGGATCTCTCACACGTTGCAGGCGGGAATGCAAAATGTACAGCCACTCCAGAAAACAGTATGGCCATTTCTTATAGAATTTAGCATGCAGCTACCACACTGCCACCCGACAGTTGCACTCTTGGGCATTTATCTCAGAGAAATGAAAACTATGTTCACATAAAAACCTGCACATGAATGTTTATAGCTGCTTTATTTGTAAAGGCCAAAGAATGGAAACAGCCCAGATGTGCTTCGATGGATGAATTGTTAAACCAACTGTGGCACACCCATAGCCTGGATGCAACAAAAAGGAACAAACTACTAAGACATGCAACAACCTGGATGGATCTCCAGGGAATTATGCTGAGTGGAAAAACCAATCCTAAAAGGCGGTATGATTCTCTTTATTTGCCATTTTTTTTTTTTTTTTTTTGAGACACAGTCTTACTCTGTTGCCCGGGCTAGAGTGCCGTGGCATCAGCCTAGCTCACAGCAACCTCAAACTCCTGGGCTCAAGCAATCCTTCTGCCTCAGTCTCCCGAGTAGCTGGGACTACACGCACGCGCCACCATGCCCAGCTAATTTTTTCTATATATTTTTAGCTGTCCAAGTAATTTCTTTCTATTTTTTAGTAGAGACTGGGTCTCGCTCTTGCTCAGGCTGGTCTCGAACTCCTGAGCTCAAATGATCCGCTGCCTTGGCCTCCCAGAGTGCTAGGATTACAGGCGTGAGCCACCATGCCCGACCCTATTTGGCATTCTTAACACACCACAATTAGGGAAATGGAGAACAGATTAGTGGATGCCAGGGGAGAGGAAGAGAAAGGTACTAATCTCTCCTCCATTTCTATAATTTTGGCAGGAGGGAGGTGGGTGTGAATATGAGAAGGCAACAGGACAGAGCCTCTTGACTGTATCAATGTAGTTAGTGTCCTGGTGTGATGCTGTTACTACAGTTTTGCAAGATGTTACCATTAGAGGAACTGGGTAAAAGGATACAAGGGACCTCTCTGTGTTACTGCCTACAACTGCATAGGACTCTCCAATTAGCTCAAAATAAAAAGTTGAATTACAAAACAACTACCACCAACAGCCCTCTCTCTCTCCTGCCGTGACAGTCTTTTCCCACCAGAAGGCTGGCTGGGCTGGCCTGGCCCACTCTGCTGTACCAAGAAACAAAGGAAGGGAACCAGGAAGGCAGGCAGACAATCCCCTATCCCCCAGGTCAGAGGACTTGAAGGGCAGGCAGTGTTTCATGCAGAACTGCCTCGTTTCAGGTCACCTAGGGCAGCAGCTCCCCAACTTCAGTGCATCAGAATCAGCCCGCAGGCTGGTGACAACAGGCAGCCCAGCCCCAACCCAAGTCAGCCGGATGGGCTGGGGCCTAAGCCTTGCATTTGTATCAAGTTTGTAGATGCTGCTGCTCGTCCAGGGACCACAGTTTGAGAACTTCAGATGCAGGAAATGCAAAGAGCTGGGGAGAAGGGAGACAGGGCAGGAGGAGGGCGGGGAGCCCACAGCAGCCTCCTTTGTCACATGGGCCTGGGGAATTCCACCCCGATGCTTCTCTGCTGTGGACAAACCACAAACATTTCCAGTTCCCCCGAGTTTGCTCCTCACTGCACAGGGGATTTCCTACCAAGCTCTGGTCTCCTTTCTGAGGGCAAGGCTCTCAGCTCCCACTCCCCAGGTGTAGCATCCTTCACCCTGAGCTCCTGACCACAGGAAGGCATTTCTGTGTGTACAGACCCTCCTCCCACCTCCTGGCTCTGAGGCAGGGCTGGGAACAAACTCGGAGCCCAGACTTGGGACTGTGCAAGGTCCATGCCCATCTGGAAGCTTACTGCCTGGAGCTCTCCCTGTACCCCAACTCTAGCTGGAAGCCAGGACCCCTTGACAGAGCAGCTCTGGCATGAGATCAGTCTAGAAGGCCACACAGCTTTATGGGGGTCAGGTCATATCTTCCTCCAGAAACAGCTACAGAGAACTTCCTACCCAGACCTCTCTTCCCCAGCTGTCCCAGAGCAGTTGCACCCCCAAATCTCCTGGTCAACCTGAGTTTCACACCATTGCCACCTCTCTGCCTGCCTGGTCACTAGGAGCAGGACCAGCAAGTGGGGCAGACTCCAGGAGGGCAGCCCTACAGGAGGCAACCCTTCTCAGCAAGTCACAAATCAGGACTCACTGTCTCCAAGGATGCAGGGTCAGGTTCCAACCCAAGGGAAGTTGGGGTCAGAGTCTCAGAGAAGTGATGGCTCTGGAGTGGGGCAGGAGCGGGATCATTGGTACCAAAAGGTGGGGTGCTCACATGCACAGGTGGCTATAAATCCTTGCCCCCTCTACCTGTGAGGCCACAACACTGACCAGCCTAAGTGTGGGGCTAAGTCAGGATGCTGGAGTTCATCAAAAAGTCCAGAAATAGGCCGGGCGCAGTGGCTCACGTCTGTAATCCTAGCTCTCTGGGAGGCCGGGGCGGGCGGATTGTTTGAGCTCAGGAGTTCGAAACCAGCCTGAGCAAGAGCAAGACCCCGTCTCTACTAAAAATAGAAAGAAATTAATCGGACAACTAAAAATACATAGAAAAAATTAGCCGGGCATGGTGGCGCATGCCTGTAGTCCCAGCTACTTGGGAGGCTGAGGCAGAAGGATCGTTTGAGCCCAGGAATTTGAGGTTGCTGTGAGCTAGGCTGACGCCACGGCACTCTAGCCCGGGCAACAGAGTGAGACTTTGTCTCAAAAAAAAAAAAAAAAAAGTCCAGGAATAAGCAATGGCCTGGAGGTGGGATATCTCTGCTGAAGGGACAACTCTAACCTCGCCTCAGTTTACAGTGTATAAGATGGGTATCTGGTGACACCCTAGGACTGAGAACACGTGACCACCTTTGTGTCATCAGGCCTTGGAGATCAATCCCAATAATCAGGATGCTCCCCAAATACTTGGCCTGTCCTTTAGAAGTCTATACCTGCAATTCTCTCACCTGCTTCTTCTCATTCATACCTCCAGTCTGCAACCACCCTAGGCGTGACAAGGGCCTTGAGGTCAGTACAGCTGGGTGAAGTCAAAATTCCCTTGCTTGTCCTGTTTCCACTCTTAAGGTTCAGGACTTGGTGTGAGTCTGTGTCTATTTTATCCATCTCCATCATGGTCTTAAACCAAGTCACATGTTCTGTGTGTCCCTGTGAAATCTTCTCTGATGATAACACAAATGACTTAAAGACACCACCACGGATGTTCTGTAACTACTGGAAAGAGGGTACCCAGGGAAGAAGAGGGGACAGAGCATTGCTGGGCAGAGTGTCCCCACTGGGCACAGGGGTGGCAGCGCAGGTGGAGAGGTAAACAAGGCACCAGGTGGGGGGGACAGGGCACCAGGGAAGACAAGGCACCCCCACGCCTGAGCTTCCAAACCGGCTATATCTGGTTTGGAAAGGGGTATCCCCATCAACCCAGGGCTGGAGACTAACAAGTCAGCGTCGTCCAGGCCGGGAACGACGCAGCTCAAGGGGCCAGTGATGGCTTCCGCGGGCCCCCACATCACCCTGCTGGTGGGCAAGTAAGTGGGAGCGGAGGGGCGCACGGTGAAGGTGAGACCGCCTGGCCCCAGAGCGAGGAACCGCCAGGTGGGGGCAAAGGCCCGGCCAGCCTCCACCGCTCAGGAGGACCTCAAGGGCCGCTTACACCCCTTGGTCAGCCTGCAACAAAGGCTCAGGCGAGGGGTGGGAAGACCTCGACACCCACGGGGCCGTGTCTGCCAGAGACCACGACGCACGCGTGGCAGGTGCCGGCAGGTGGGCGGCAGAACCCCCGGCCCCAGCCCCGGCCGCAAAGCCCGTCGTGGGCGCCGCAGCGGGACGGGGGCACCCCGGAGGACAGGTCGCACCTGCCCGCCCGCACCTGCTGGCCCGCACCTGCCGCACCTGCCCACCCCCGCCGCCCCGCACCTGCCCGCGGGCGCCGTTGCCAGGCACCACCTCCCAGGACCCCGCTCACCTCCGCCCGGCCCGGCCCGGCCCCTCGCCGCGGCGGCCCTCGACCCGCGCCGCTCCATGCGCTCAGCCCGCCCTCCGTGCCGCCCGCCGCCCCGGGGCCGCCCGCGCCATCGCGCCGCCGCCCGCTCCGAGGGCACAATGGAGCCGCCGCCGCGCCGCTCATGCATATGCATGACGCCGCGCCGCCGGCCCCGCCTCCCAGGCCAGAGCAGCGGAGCCCCGAGCTGGCGCTCGGGGCAGGGGGAGCCGCGGGCCCGCACCGCCAAGGGCAGCGGTGTGGAGCCGGGGCTGCAGGCAGCCGGACGGTCGGGAGACGCGTCCCGACCGCAACCTGCGCCCCCCGCCCCCTCCACACCTTTCCGAACGCGGCGTCGGCGGAGCCACCGCGCGCTTCCTGCTAGCTGTCCGCCGGGGCGGGGCGGAGCGGAGCTGGGTGGAGTGGGCGGGGCCAGGGCCGGGGGCGGGACGGGGAAGAGGCGGGGCCACGGTGCCGGGGCGGGGCCGAGCGGGGGCTGAGCGGAGGCCGAGCAGGGGGCCGGGCCGGAGACGCCACTGCGAGGCCAGGCGGAGGTGGCCGGGTCTGGACGCTGGAGCGGGGCCGGGCGGAGAAGTCACCCTTCCCCGCTCCGCCCAGCCCGCAGCTGCTTCCCTGTCGAACCCCGCTGGTGGTGTCGTCGCTGCCTCCTGGGGAGTCCTTTGCTCCAGCCTGGTGTGCCGAGACACGGCAGGGAGGCTGAGGCTGAGGGTGCCAATTAGGGAAGGAGGTCTCCATAGGTACTCAAGTGGCCCCTCGTTAAAACGGAAAGCCAGACTTAACCTAACAAGCTGAGTTCTCACTTCCCATAGGTCCGCCTTCTGAAAACTCTTAAAGTCACTATTGAGCTCTTCTAGCCAGATGAAATAGCCTGTGTGTCGCCTAGGCTGGGGTACAATGGCATGATCATAGCTCACTGCAGCCTCAAACTCCAGGGCCCAAGCAGTCTTCCTGCCTCAGCCTCCTGAGTAGCTGAGACTAATTTTTTTATTGTGGTAAAATGCACATAACATAAAATTTACCGTCTTTACCATTTTCAAGTGTACAGTTCTGTGGAAGTACATGCACATTGTTTGGCAACCATCACCATCATCCAGCTCCAGAACTTTTTCATCTTCCAAAATTGAAACTCCATACCCATTAAACACTAACTCCCATTCTCCTCTACCCTCAGCCCCTGGCAACCACCGTTCCACTTTCTGTCTCTATGAATATGACTACTCTAGGGACCTCATATAAGTGGAATCATATAGGATTTATCTCTTTGTGACTGCCTTATTTCAGTTAGCATAATGTCCTCAAGGTCCATCTATGTTGTAGCTGTGTCAGAATTTCCTTCCTTTCTATGGCTGGATAATATTCCATTGCGTGCATATACCACATTTAGGCTGTCCATTCATCAGTTGATGGACACTCCACACTTTCTGATATTGCTGAAATTTCCTGAAGGCTGCACCTGAATTCTGTGCTCTGCTTCTTTCAGGAATCAGTAGTTCATTGAGCGAATGTAGCAGGCCTGTGGCATGACAATCACCTGTCTGGGCTCTGTGAACCCTGGTCTGTGCCCAGGGACCCTGATAGTGAGGTCCCTCCGCCCTTGGAACATGCATGCTAAGGGGAAAAACAAAAGGAAATGACTCAACAGGTAACAATGTGTCCGTCAGAGAGAGTGTTAAGGAGCAAAATAAAGACCAGAGGATGGGGGGCGATGGGAACGAGGGAAAAATTCTCTGGGGAACTGGTCCTGAAGAAGAGACCTGAATGAAGGGGGAGAAGGGGTCCAGAGGACGCTGACCCTTCCTGTCTCGGAAGAGGCTGTGTGTTTGCTGGGGTTGCAGGCAGGTTCACAGAGGAGGCCAGAAGTGGTCACACCAAGGGTCCTGGGTGTCCTCAGTACAGGCAGCTCTGTCACCCCCATCTGCTTCAGCAACTTCTGCCCGACACCCCTGGGAGGTGCTGTCTGGTGTCCACACCTTTCTAGAGAGTGTTTTCATTTTTTACCTTATGAATTATTAGGAAAGTCTTCCTTATTTACTAGAAAATCTGCCTTTCTGAAACCTTCCCTCTAAAATGGCATAAAATAAGAATCCTCACTTCGCTATTTGACAGCTCTTCAAATATTAGAAGAAACTTGTCATTCCTCACTAGTCATCTGTTAGAGAACAAATGTGCCCAGTTCCTTAAGTGTTAACAGTAACATGATTTCCAGACCCCATACCCTGTCCTTTAGACAGGCACCGGTTAGACAATATCCCTTTTAAAATGTGACACCAGGAAGGGAACCTGATATCCTAAATGTAATCAACCTAGCACAGCATCCTGGGGCTCCTGCAAGTTGACACTCTCCAAAGGTCAATGTGGCCTAAATCTGAATTTGGTTTTTAACCAGTATCCCTCTTTATTATGGCTGGCTACTAAGCATGCATAGCTTTACCTATTCTCCATTTGCAAAGCTAACTTTAAAAAGAAACAATTGCTGCTGCTTCTCTGCGTATAAGTAACATATTCTACTTGCGGAAAACACAGAGAAATATTCAAAATAAATTAAAACCTTTCACTGGCCGGGCGCGGTGGCTCACGCCTATAATCCTAGCACTCTGGGAGGCCGAGGTGGGTGGATTGTTTGAGCTCGGGAGTTCGAGACCAGCCTGAGCAAGAGCGAGACCCCGTCTCTACTAAAAATAGAAAGAAATTAATCGGACAATTAAAAATATATAGAAAAAATTAGCTGGGCATGATGGCGCATGCCTGTAGTCCCAGCTACTCGGGAGGCTGAGGCAGGAGGATCGCTTGAGCCCAGGAGTTTGAGGTTGCTGTGAGCGAGGATGACGCCACGGCACTCTAGCCTGGGCAGCACAGTGAGACTCTGTCTCAAAAAAAAAAAAAAAGAATATTTAATGGTATGAGAAAACATTCACAATTTGCTAAATGAAAACAGGATACAAAGTTGTATGATGCCAACATGTTCATTTCTAAAGAAGCATGTATGGAGTATACAGTCTTCCCACAAGCCTCTAACTCATTACAAGGGGAAAAAAGAACTTTTATAATAATGGCATTGGTCAGACACCACCTTAACCAAATGACCAAAGTCAACACCATCAAGAGTGTGACCAGGCAACATCCTGTGTGCTGATGTGATGCTCAGAGAGAGGACTTAAATCCCCTGCGTGGAAGTTGCAGGTGGGAATGTTCAATCTGAATCTGGTCGTGAGAAAACAACCAGGCAAACCCAGACAGAAGCTCCGTCTCCAGAACCGGCCCAGAGCACGTCAGGCCTGGGAACATGTCTAGAGTAGGGAGACTAGAAACACAGGAGAAGTAAATGCCACAACTAGACTGGGTGGGGAGGCATTGCTGAGATGATTGGGAAAATTTGATTATGGGCTAGAGATTAGATACTATTATAACATTGAATGGATGTTAAATTACCACACTGGGGACGTGGGAGAATGCCCTTGCTCTTAGGAGATTGTCAAAGGGAAGTATTTCTAGGTGGAGGGTCATGGGTTGGCAATTAAGACTCACAGAGTTAAACCAAAACTACAAAGAGAGAGAGAGAGAGTGTGTGTGTAGATAGAACACCCTGGGGCACTACAATCTAAAAAAGTATTTTAAAAGGCATAAAAAATGACAGGAAGGAAATGCACCAAATCATGCATTATTTGTGGATTTAGAAGAAATGATTTAAAAGTCTTTAAAATATCCTTAATGACTGCCTGTTTTATAGATGTGTCATGACTTACAGTAGGGAGCAGTAGGGAGCTCCCAACCCCCAAATCAAGCAGGTGGAACGAGCGTATCATGATGCAGGGCGAGGAGTCTGAGAGGCGAGTCGGGGGCTCGCCGGACTGAGGGCCAAGGACAGGAGCTGCAGTTAGATGAGAGGGAGCGGACTGTTCAGCCAGCGGGCGGTACATGCAGTTGGTGGGAGGCCACCGTTTTGAACTGAGCTCCCGCGCTGGGCCCCAGCAGACAGACCAAAGCAGAATGGAGTCACTAACTTTGAAAGGGCCGATTTGCCAAAAAACAGGAGATTCACAGCAGCGAATCGGAAGGGTCCCAGTTTTCCTGAGCTGGCATGACAAGAAATTCCCCTGTTTTCACCCTAAAGGAAAGTAAGTTTATTGAGGTTCACCGCTGCACTCCAGCCTGGGCGACAGCGTGAGACCCTGTCTGGAAAAAACAAAGAAAAAAAGAAAGTAGCTTTAAAATGACCCTTTTTGCTCCCTGCTTCTGCTTTCTTCAGCCCTTTTCTGCTTACAGAGCCAAGCTCCGCTGCCCCGCGCTCACTGCAGTGCCTTTTCTTTTCTTTTTTTTTTTTTTTTTGAGACAGAATAGAGTGCCGTGGCGTCAGCCTAGCTCACGGCAACCTCAAACTCCTGGGCTCAAGCCATCCTCCTGCCTCAGCCTCCCGAGCGGCTGGGACAACAGGCATGCGCCACCATGCCCGGCTAGTTTTTTCTATACAGATTTTTAGTTGGCCAAATAATTTCTTTCTATTTTTAGTAGAGACGGGGTCTTGCTCTTGCTCAGGCTGGTCTCGAACTCCTGACCTTGAGCGATCCACCCGCCTCGGCCTCCCAGAGTGTTAGGATTACAGGCGTGAGCCACCGCGCCCGGCCCGCAGTGCCTTTTCTGAATCTCCAGGTGAGACGCCGCCAGATTCACGGATCACTGATAAAAGCCAATTTGATCTTTAAACTAAATTTGTTGGAGTTTTGTTTTTTAGCAGCGGGCTGTAGGCAGAGAGGATGGAGATGTCTGAAAGCACATCGTGGAGACCTGGCGACTGTGCAGGTGAGGCAGAGAGAGGGCCCGAGCAGGTGGTGGCTCTGGCCATTCTCCCTGCAGGTCTTACTGGGCAACTGAGTCGCCAAGGCCACCTTCCCACAAGGGTCCCTTTGGCCATGAGTGAGGTTTGGGGGAAATGAGGCAGGTGCTGATGCCTTTCCTGCAGGGTGACCAGCAGGCAGGTGGCAGAGCAGGGCGGGAGTGGGAGGGGGGATGGCCACTTCACACCAGGGTCCCCTGGGCATAGTTT